GGGTCGGGTGGTTCGAGGCTTGGCAGCCTGTGTGAAGCTCGGCCCTCTGATGTGAGGCTTGGCCTGTTGGTGTGAGACTTGTTCTTGTGGAGTGAAGCTTTGCCTCCTAGTGTGTGGCCTAGCCTGCTCATTTGTGTCTTATGCTATTGGTGTGAGGCTTGTCCTGTTGGAGTGAGGCTTGGCCTGCTGATTTGAGCTTGTCCTATTGGTGTGAGCCTTGGCCTGGTGACGTGAGTCTTGGCCTGGTGGTATGAGACTTGGCCTCTGGGTGTGAGGCTTTTACTACTGGAGTGAGTCTTGTCCTGCTAGTGTGAGGCTTGGCCTACTGGTGTGAGGCTTGGCCTTCTGGTATGAGGCTTGGCCTGCTGGTTTGAGGCTTGTCCTGCTGTTGTGCAACTTGGCCTGCAGCAGTGAGGTTTAGCCTGGTGGTATAAGGCTTAAACTTCTGGTGTGATGCATAGCCTGCTAGTGTGAGGCTTAGCCTTTTGTTCTTAGCCTAGGCCTGATGGTTTGAGGCTTGGCCTGGTTGTGTGAGGCTTAGCCTCCTGGTGTGAAGCTTGGCCTGGTGGTGAGGCTTGGCCTGCTGGACTGAGGTTTGGTCTCCTGGTGTGAGGCTTAGCCTTCTGGTGTGAGTTTGTCCTGCTGGTGTGAGGCTTGGTCTGGTGGTGTGTCTCATGGCCTGGTGGTGTGAGACGTGGCCTGGTGGAGTCATGCTTGGCCTGATGGAGTGGAGCTTGTTCTGTTGGTATGAGGCTTGGCAAACTGATTTGAGAATTGACCTGCTGGCTTCAGGCTGGCCTGCTGGCGTGAGGCTTGTCCTGATGGAGTGAGGCTTGGCCTGATGTAGTAGGCTTGGCCTGATGGAGTGAGGCTTAGCCTGCTGGTGTGAGGCTTAGACAACCAGGATTTTGACCTGGGTGTTCCCACCAGCCCAGTAGAAGAAGGGGAGGCAAGGGTAGCTGCCCAAGTCAGTTACCTCCTGCGTGTTCTGGATCTTCCACTTCTGCTGTGTGATCGGCCGAGTGGTGCGGTTCACAGCAGGAGATCCCATCCCAGCTTTTCCTTGTCCAGACTGAACACTGTCAGCGAGGCTGACCTTCCGACAGTCTGTGAAGACAGAGGGGCAGGCTCAGTTCCAGGAGCCCTCATAATGCCATCTGCCTTCCCAGGACCCCCAGGACCCGTGTGCTACTCACCACCCAGCTGGTCAGCAGTCCTGAACCCCTGCGATGCAGGCAGTCCTGGAACAAATTCTGCAGGGCTCTGAGTGGTGGCCAGGAATGTTGTTGGGTCCTCACTCTCTTTGCCCGTAAGCTGTGACACTAGACGCTGTAGCTCTAGCAGCTTCACCTGGAGCAAAAGGTGCTCAGTGCTCTGCCGCTACCCTGACCATGCCTCCTCAGCACCCCAGCCTTCCTCAAAGGTTCCCAGTGCACTGTCCCAACCCCGCCCACAGAGAAAGTGCTCAGTGCCCTGTTCCGACTCTGCACCAGGCCATGCCCTGCCTGCAGAGAAGCTCATGGCCCCACCTTCAGATTCTCCTTTTCCTGAAGTAGCTGGTGGATGTATTCATCTTTCTCCTTGTATCGCTCTTTGAGCATCGCCCTCTGTCTCTGATATAGGACAATGAAATCTCCTGCAGGGACCGAAGTCAGAAGGGCCAGTGGGCAGTGTCAGGACAGGGCACAGGTGGTACCTCCACCCACCCACAGCTCACTGCCCATTGGCCCTGGCATCCCAGCTCACCGATGGTCTCTGTTTCTGCAGCGAGCTGGAGGCAGCGATCCTCTAGTGCGTCTACTCGCTCCTGCAGGGCCGCCTTCTCCTCCACGGCCTGCAGAAAGCGGCTCTGGAGCCCCAGGAACAGGTCAGGTCTCAGCAGTGACCTGCCCCATGCCCACCATTCGACGGCCCATGTTAGGGGAAACTCACTCACCTTCAGCTTCTCCATGAACTCCTGTAGTGACTGGTGGCTCTCCCCACACTTGCAGTAATCCTTGGCCCCAGAGGAGAGGGTCTCCGTCCTGAGAGGGAGCTGCCCGGGGAGCCGGTTGCTGGCAGCTACGTTTATTTTCCGTCAGCTGCAGGCAACAGGTGCATGTGTTTTTGTGGGGGAATCACTCAGGACACAAGGGGTCAGAGATACAGAAGGACCTGGGTGGACCACGTGCTCTGCCCTTCCTCCCACCCCCAGAAGGTGTGGGGGTCCAGCGTAGTCAGGGGGCCAGGGATTCAAGTAGGAGGAGGGTGCTAAGAGAGATCACAGAGGGGAAGCAGCAGAGGTCAGGTCACAGACTGCTGGAAATGCAGAGGGACAAACATGCTCTGTGGCACAGTAGAAATGTGCTACTCAAGAGAAACTGGATCTTCTACATGATTCCCAGGGTTCAAATCCCCAGCCCGGTCAGCTTGAAACATGTTGGGCCCATGCCCAAGTACCCTGAATTCAATGAGGTAAGAGCCCTGGAAAAGGGGGATCGTGGTGTGAATAGTTTTTTTTGTAGAGTGCTCATTTCTCTCGCTCTTCTGAGTACAAGCATGCAATTCAGGGATACTACCTCTCTCTTGTTCTAACAGCAGCTCAAACTCCTCTAGCTTCTGCAATTTCTCCATTCCGAGCTGTGTGACTGCCTTCTTAGCAGCTAGGATTCAGAGCTTTTCCTCCTAAGATCACTTACAGCTGGGATTTTACCATCCAGGTCTAATTCTTAAAACCCAATTTTTCCCTGAGGGTAAGGATGGGGAGTGTTAAATTACTATTTTAATTTTTCTAAAGAGTTTTTGTTTGTTTGTTTGTTTGGTTTGTTTTTTTTTTTTTTTTTTTTTTTTTTTTTTTTTTGCCATAGGAAGCATGTACATACTGGAGAGACAGAGGCAAAGCGAGGCAAAGTGAGAAATCACCCTCCATATGTATGGCTATGTTGCAATCCATTCTGTTCCATTCTTTTCTCAGGATTTTGCATACACACACACACACACACACACACACACACACACACACACCAGGCAAGGGTTTGAAGCTGCCAGGTCTTGGACATGAACCACAGTTGGCTCCAGTTTTGACTTGGGAATCCCAGTGCCAAGGGAGAATGGGTAGTTATGGGGCCTAGGCCTTAGCTGGAGGGACCCTGAGCATGCAGCATGGCTCTTTCTGTTGCTTCCCTCCCGACCTGCTCTCTTCTGCAGACACCCCTGCCTGAGTCCATGCCAAACTTGCCCTGGGGTCCCTGCCTGTCACCTGGCAGGAGTACAGTTGCTGACCTGCTCTGTCTTTGATTTCTGACAAGCCAACATTACTCCTTGGGCTTGAGTCTCCTGGGAGGTCAAAGGTTGCTCTTAGCTTTAAGCAGCAAATATTGAAAAAATTGGGAACCAGCAGTTAGCGTAATGGCTATGTCGTTGGACTCCCATGTAGTTGAACGTGGTTCAGGTCCCGGACCCGGTGGCTTAGAACTCACACTGGGTGCGTGTGCGTGTGTGCCCAAGATCCCGAGAGGAGAATGGAGGAGAAGGGATTGCGGCATGACCATCCCCCCTGGGGGGTGATTTCTCTCTTTCTGTCTCTCTGTCTCTCTGTCTGTCTGGCAAGCACACGTGCCCTATAGCGAAAAACCTCTCAAAAAAAAGATTGAAAAAATTCAGTAGCATGTGTCAGGCAGAGGGAGCTTGTCTCTTAAGAACAGGTCCAAACCCATAACATGGGCTCAGGAAGTATTGGTTGAAGATGAACACACCATTGTAAATCATAAGTGGGCAGAGGGTAGTTCTCTTTTCTCAAAATCCTTTTCTAGCCATTGTAAATCATAAGTGGGAAAGAGAATCCAGATTCAGGCTTTTGGTTCTACTCTCCGAGTGAAAACCAGTGAAGAGAGTTTGAGGAGAAATTGTGACTTCATGGTACCATAGGGACTGAGAACCATTCCTTTAAAATTGTTACCCAGGCACAGTGACACAGACATCAGGGCATGCCACGTGGCAGTACTGGAGTCACATGGAGGACTGCAGTTTGGGTCCCAGGCCAGGCATGTGCACACCCATGTCCCTGTGATCCTAGCTGGCTGGAAGGCTGGAAGGCTGGGGAGATTGTGGCATGACAGACTCTGGTGGGGGTGCCTGTTTCTCACTATCTCATGGAAGAAATTAAAATTTAAAAAATCCCTTGCCCCCTGCCCAACCCTTCTTGGTCTGAGGATGCAGTGAAGGAGTCATCCTCGGTCACCTTCCTTTATCTCTTTCCACAGAAACAACAAGAGCAAGAAACTCTGGACCAGCCGGAAAAAGTAATGACTTCTCTATTTGCTTGTTGCCTGGCTGATGGGTTGAAGGGACTTCGACGGAGAGGCCCCAGACTTGCCATATCCCTCTCCTCTACCTTGGAGATGGCTCCTGCTCCACCACCCCTCCACCCCACAGCATCCCTGATTATCGGGTCTCTTTGTGGCCTCCTCTCAGTAACAGATACTTCTTCCCTCTTCCTAGAGGAGAAGGAATGTCAGAAAAAGTTGATGAAGGAACACAGGGTGCTCAGAGAATCACTGCAGATGGGTGGACCACGTGTACCCTGGAACATTTCTTTACCTCTCTTTGAGCACTCGTTTGATTGTTCTCCCAAAGGTTCACTTTCAAACCATAGGCATCCTGGTGTGTGAGAAGGCAGAATAACAGACAGCCCTGGCCCACACTCAGGAGGCAGCCAGGCAGACATCAGGTGGGCCTCTGGGCACCCCTTCATCCTTCACCTTGGCAGCCTTCAGGGGAAGTCCATTGGCTCCATTTTCACCTCTCTTATTCTAGGAGAGTCTGAGGATCTTGACAATGGCCTGCGGGATTGTCAGCAGTGTGCAGGAGAGCTGGAGTGGACATGGTCTGCCCTCTACATGCAGCAAAAATAGGTAGAAAGGGTGAGCCCAGCCACCTGTGTGTCCACTGGCAGTCCTGCTTCCTAGAGATCCTTCTGCAGGCTGGAGTATCTTGCTCATGGGAATGCAGCACAGGCTATTTCCTGCAGCCTGGCCATGGGGTGGTTAGGGTTATCAGCTATGAGTAAATTGGGGCAGTACATGCAATGGATGCAGAGCCCAGAGGCCAAATGCCCACTTTGCCTTAACTGCTATGGCCTTGGCCAAGTGCGAGGAGTGTGGTACTTGGGCAGTTAGGTACAGATGCGTATTCCTGAAAGACTCCTACAAATATCAGGGAAGAGAACAAGGTGGCTGAGATATGTTTCGATCTGTACCTTCTGAGTTTTAGAATGTGTATATTTATCATCCATTGAGAAAGTGAACAAAACATTAAAATACAGGGGCCAGCATTTGCCAGAGTGCTTAAGGCACTAGACTCTCAGGTGGCCAACTGTGGTTCATGTCCAAGACCGTCAGCTTGAAATGCATGCCTGTCATATGTGTGTTTACCCAACATTTTGAGAGAAGAATGAAACAGAATATGGCATGGACATCCCCTGGGAATGTCTTCTCACTTTCCCTCACTCTGTCTCCCCAGTGAGTGTATGCTTCCCATGGCAAAAAAAAAAAAAAAGAAAGAAAGAAAGAAAGAAAGAAAGGAAGGAAGGAAGGAAAGAAAAAAACACCATTAAAAAAACTAAAATACAAATGTAACACCCCTCCCCATAAATGTATCCTTACCTCCGGGGAAAAATTGGGTTTTGAGAATTAGACCTGGATGTTCAAGTCCAAACTCTAAGTGATCGTTGGGGGAGAAGCTCTGAATCCTAGCTCCTGAGAAGGCAGCCAGGCAGCTCAGGATGAGGGAATTGCAGAAGTTAGAGGAGTTCGAGCTGCTGTTAGAACAAGTGAGAGACTGCAGTCCTAAAATGACTACACACACGCCTGAGAGAGAGAGATGAGCACCCTCCAGAAAGACTACTCATACCAAGATCCTCTTTTTCCAGGCTTCTTGCTCTGTTGGATTTGGGGCATGTAGGCACGTGCCCAAAATTTTTCAGGTTGACCAGGCTGGAGATTTGAACTCTGGTCATCATGTAGGAGATCCAGTTTCTCTGGAGAAGCACATTACTGCTGTGCTTCAGAGTATGTCCGTCCCTGTGCTTCTCCACCAGTCTCCGACCTAGAGTGAAAATGCTGGGAAAGGTTATGAGGTCTTGGGCAGGTACTAGGTCTGTGCCCCCTCCCTATTTCTTAACTCACAATCTAGAAAGACACTGCCACATTCCCTCTCTCCACAGGTGGAGGTAAAGAACCAGGAAGCTCAGGGTCTGAGCAACAGCGGGGCCAGTTCGCCATCTACTGGCAGCAATACAGGACCTCCTATGAGCTGCTAGCCTCTGATAAGGAGGTGCTGCAAAAGCAGCTGGGCTCTTTCCAGCTCCTCTATTTTGCTACGAAGTTGTTTGTTTTTTAGGTAACTAGAGTCCAGGGCTACTGCTAGATTTGGTACCAGCTGAGTCCCATGCAAAGAGAATGCATTGGAGGAAGGTTGGGGGAAAGTAGAGAAAGCAATCATTAGGGTTGGGAGGTAGACCGTCTCAGCTGGAAGGGGGGCCCCAGGCTCCACTGAGGGAGGAGGACAGGGGCTGGTCTTCAGGATCACAGGGCAGGGTCACTGAGTCACAGTCCAGGGTCACTGATCTCCAGATCTTTCACTTTAGTAGAAGAGCTGAGGCCCTCTCTATCGACATAGGATGAAGACTAGGAGAAATGACAGCCCATAGAGACACAATGTCCCCTCAGTGTCTAAGATCTCTGACTTTCTCTCATCCCCGCCAAACTGACAAATTGGTCACCTGTAACCTTTTTGCCTACTTCTCATTGTTCTTATCTCCCTGTCTATCCTCTTATCCTAAGCAGTTCTCATTTTGCCCTTTCCACAGTCTGACAAAGTGATGTAAGCAACCTCATGGCCCAATCCTTTCCCTTGTGCAGCTTGCAGGGAGAAGACTCAAAGAAAATGTCACTTTCCCAACATAACCCAAGCCAAGCACAGTGCTCCGCTGTGTCCCTCAGAGACACTCACTGGTTTTTGTCCATGATATCAGGGCCATTGTCACCATCATAGTTCTCCTGGGAGGACACACAAGACGTGACCATTTCATATCTAGTAAGAATTATCCTGAGTTCAGGTAAGCCAGGCTCATTCCTACAGCCTTCTGTCATTTCCCAAAACCTCAAAGAAAGTTGTCATTCCCAACCCCAATCCCAGGAACGAGACCTTGTGCAAAAAAACAAACTACTTGAAGGATGAAGAGGATCTATAGTAGGTCTCCTCCTAGGGAAGGAGGATGCAGCAAGCACATAGGAGGACAGCAGAAAAGGGGGGAAGGGGCACAAACCTGAGGAGATTCCTTTGTAGAAAGACTAGCTCCAGGGGAAGGGACACCATCAGGTAACACGATGTCATCAGCACATGGTGGTACAGGAACAGCATAATCTTTGGGCACCTACCATGGAATGGAACAGGTGGTTGGGGGAGAGAGTACAGAGTGGGAGGATAGGTGCCGCTACAATCAGAGTGACAGCCATGCATTCTGGGCACTTGGGGGTGTGGACATGGCAAGACTAGGTCTCGGGCTGCTCAGCAGCATTGTGGGTGACCAAAGCTCAAAGCAAGGATAGGACGACTTCATTCATAGACACGCAGGGACTTCTTTTCCTTAGAGCTCAGCAAGACAGTACCAGACAGAGCCCTGTGGCAGCGCAGCAAGTGGAAGGAAAGGGTGCCGCTCCAGGGGAAGAAAGGTTCTGTTATTCCCAAAGCAGAATGCAGAGGGACACCAACCAAGACCCCTGCTGGGCAGTGAAGAGGAAGGAGCTGTGGTCAGTGTGGTTCCTGCCTGTTACCCCACCCCCAATCGTTGGCTGTTTCTCTGACTTGGCCTTTTTATTAGGAAAAAAGAGTTCCAATTAGAATCCCCTCCCTGCTCACTGAAAGTAAAAGGAAATTCACCCATAGACACTTCCTGGTCATTACCTCCAGCCCAACACCCTAGCTCCAGAAACACCTACCCAACCAAGAAACAACCCAAGAAACCAGAGGTAAGATATCTTCCCTTTGACTCAGCATTCTGGAGGTCCTGAGGCGTCGTTCCTAGAAATAGTGGTCAAGGGACTCCCCTGGCACTTAGAACTTGAAGCCATATACCACTCTCTTAGTCCAAGGTCATGGTCCACAGCTTCTAACCAGGAGGTGGGCAGATCCTGGAAGAGCTGGCTTTAAGCTTCAGGTGGACCAAGGAAAAGGGCTAGAGTGCCAATGATTGGCCAGTGAGGCTGGGTCTGGAGAGTAAGTGGCTGCCTCTCTCAAAAGAAAGCAAAGGGCCACCTGCTCTTTGGAATCTTCGCCTTGGCCTCTGAAAATCTAAGCCTGTTTCCCTGCTCAGAGCAAGCATCATGGAGGCTGGGAGCTGGATGATCCATGATGTCTTTAGATGGTTACCATGACCAGGACCTGGAGACTGGTGCCCACAGTGTGATCACTGGCCCTGCAACATTTGTTGCTTTGACTTCTACAACTGAAGCTAATAGGACAGAGTGGGAATCTCTGCAGTTGGTCAGGTGTGATTAGGAGAAGTTGGAGGGGAGGTAGGCACTCCTAGCTATGATTCTAGCAGCCTCTTGGTCCTTTCTGGCACCTTGGATTCCACTGAGCTGTAGAATTAGACAGGAATGCTGGAGAGAAAAGGAATTGTTTTCCTAAAGACACTTATATACATGTAATGTGATATTTTTTAACTGCTACAAACCACATTTTCTCACTAGAAAGAGGGAGAAAGCACTGCCCATGGGGGATAGTCTCGCTCCAATCCCTTCTCCTCCATTTCTCCAACCTGTTGAGATTCTGGACATGCATGCACATGTGCCCATCATGCTCTTCAAACCAAAGTCAGGACTTGAACTACAGTCAGTCACATTGAGTCACATTGTTATTAGTGACACCCTCTAACACCAATTCTCTATGCACTGTCCCTGTCCCTCTCTGAATGCCATGGTCCACAGCAGCTGCCTTGGCTCTACTTCATCTCTGCTCTTCTGGCTTGCCAGGTGTCCCTTGGGCAAACAGTGAGGATGAAATGCTAATATCTCATCTCATGGTCTTCTCTAGCCTGGGTAACCCAAAGCTCTGGTCCCACACCCATTCCTCACATACCTAAAAGGTGCTCTGTGATAACATAATGCTGGCTGTGATCTCATTGCTCTCTCTGTTTTTCCTAGTCTCAATGGATGCATGTAACCTACCCTGAGTCTTCCCACTCGCCTCCTGCAGCCTCGAGTCCATCCTGAACCAGCCTCGTTGAGCATTTGAATATTGCCACATTCTCCTTTGCATCTCTCAGAGAACTGTGTGCATTGGTGTGCACCCTACCTTATTCAAAGGGACACTCAGACATATTCATTTGCTTTAAAATAAGATTCATAGACTCTGATCTAATCCAGCAAAGTTGTCTTTCAGATAAGGAAACTGAGGCCCAGAAAGTGATTTTGCTGAGGTCACCCAGAAAGCTCCTGCCACAAGTCAACTCAAACCTCAGATCTTTCCATCCTAGCTCCCAGGGCTCTCCCCCCACAGCCTGGGTCTTTCAGTGCTTCCTAAAGGGAGGGCCTGATGACACGTGGCTGTGTTCACTGGCCTGGCTTCCTCTGGAGGCTGGGGATAAGAAAAATCCAATACTGCTACCATTTGTTCAACCTTCACGGGTACCAGCCACTTCCTTCTCAATCTTTATGGTTAACCTCTCCC